ATCTTGTAATCTGATAAACAACTTTGAATATAACAATACTCAATGTACTAATCATTGTTACTCTCCTACAATCTTGTTTTAGAAATTTATACAATTGTATTTATTGCTTATTTTTATTTTCTTTAAAATTAAAAAAAAATCCTTTTCCTTTGTCAGTTCCGTTTCTAAAGACATTTCCTCCCTTAGGCACTGTGTTGGTTAGGTAGGTGGTTTACTTTGGGTTTTTTGTTGTTGTTGTTTGTTTGTTTGTTCACTTGTTTGTTTGTTTTCATTACCAGGGATTAAACTTAGGACCTTGTGTTTGCCAGGCAAGTGCTTATTCTATTGAGCTATCTCCTTGGCCCTGGGTGGTTTACTTTGGTTTTTAATTTTTTCCTCTTCTCTCTTTTCTCGACAGTGTTTAAGAAAAAAGTGTTTCTCTGGGTTCAGTCCTGTCTCCATGATGGGGTTCCTACCATGACAGCTCTTGCACAGACCCACCATCCAAACTCTTCACTGGAAAGCCACCACCAGGGTTGGCTTGGGCCATGAGACACCAGAGTTATTGTATGAATTCTATCATCCTACAAATCAGCCTTCACAGAGGCTCTACTGTCTTCACATTTTGTTTTGCTTTATTGCTGGGGTCAATGCTAGGCCCTTGCACAAGCCTAGCATGTACTCTATTGCTGAGCTCTCCTTGGCTCAGTGCTTTCTTGTGGATAATAATTATTAATCTCTACCTTCCTTCTCAGAGTTTGCATGTAAATGAATATTCATGGATATGCAAGTGTTTGCTGAACACAAACAGTGCATAGTCCTGATACTAGCAAGTACACTAAATGTGTTATTTCTGTAATCTGATTTAACATTTAATCTCCTTTCCTAAACTCAATTCTTCTCAATTTTATCTTTGCTCATTTCCATATTCAATATCTCTAAGAAATAGATTTTCTTCTTTTGTATCTATAGCTCTTCTGCTGCTCTCTGTACTCTCAGATGAAACCCTAGGCCAGCTTTCCTCATCTGACCCTGGGTCCTTCACCACACACTCTATCAGTGGCCACTGAGCCTCATTTCACTCTCTGTATCCTCAGATAATTTCATTTTTCTCTCCAAAACATCAATTGTATGAGGTTTCTATTACTACTGCAGTACAGTTGATGCTTTTCTCAACTAAAGAGTCTGGCCTCAACCAAGAGGCAAGCCCATGTCCCCAGAGAGTCTATGGCATGCTATCTTCCTAGCAGTAGGCAGCCACGGAGTACAACTGGCCAGTGTGGGCATTCTAGATGCTGCAAGCTGCCTCTGAGTCACTGGCACTACTCACTTCCTTTACTTTTAATTCTACTGAATCTTCCTATGAATTTCTTTTTGGTTAAACTAGAACTATTGTCTTTTTGCTTAGAAGTCCAGAAACTGGAGCTGGGACATAGTTTAGCAGTACTACACTTGTGTAGCGTGCCCCATACCCTGAATTCCATCCCTGGCACCAAAAAGAAAAAATTATCAAAAAGCCTTCACTACCAAAGTATTGCATTTTCTGAAACAAACAAACAAAAAAACCCTATTCTTCTTTGAATTCCTCCTTTAAGTACGTTTCACACTTTTTGCTCACTTCATGCCACTTTCACACCTCTTGAAGATTTCTAGATATAAGAATGTTTGCAGCCATACTGACTGACTCAATCACAACTATTCATTTTTAACACCCTTCAAAACACTCTCCTTCACTTCAAACACATCCATCCCATCTTTCTTTCCACTTTGTGAGGAAGTTCTAGAAATCCTCTTCGTGTTTTTTTAGTTGTGCTGATGTGGCTGCCATGATGTCCTCAGTCACTTCAAAAATGTGGAATTTTCTTGATAATTTTTACTTTGAAAAAGAACCAGGGGTCACATGGAGCCAGATCCAGTGAATAAGATAGAAAAGGACACACTGTAATCTTAGTGCGAGCCCAATATTCAATGTATTTTTTATCACATTTAATAAAAATGCTCACTAATGAAACTTGTAGTACTCCTTAAGAAAGTGACAAGAGTGATGTGATAAGTGTCTCTGAAGTGAAAGAGAGTATTTTGAGGGGAATTAATGGCAATATGTCTTTTACTGTAATAAAAGTATATTAATTAAATACTGACCTTAGCTTCTGCTCACATCTTGGTTTGGCTTTGTATTCTGGGCAGTTACCATAATCTGTGACCAGATAGACTGTTTATAAGGGATCTGTGTTTTATGTCTCTTTTTAATGAGTTCATATTATAATTTAATAAAATGTTTTATATTGTTTTATGGCCATTCAGAGAAATATAGAGTCTAGAATTGATCAAATTTAAGATATCATGTCTGCATCTTGTCCTCTGAATAACTACTACAAAGAAAGCAATATGTAATGCATGAATTATTGTAACTGTCCTACTAACCTGTTTGAAACAGTTGCATTGCTATTTTATCTTTTTTCTCATTAAAATGAATTTTTAAAAATTAGTGCCTGTAATCTCATTTTTTAAAAATCGTGATATTGTTTTATTGGAATTTTTCTATTTTTGCCTGATCTCAAAAGAACCATTTCTGCCATCACTATAAAAAGCTGAAGGTCATTCCTCCTGAAGATGGCTTCCCACAGGGCAACAACAGGTTTGGGGCTTGAGATACAAGAAAGATAGAGTTGAATGTAGTTGAGATGAGTATACTGAGACAAACTCTCATACAGGGAGGACAACTGCTGAACATGTTCCCATTGGATGCTTGGTGACTGTTTAAGTAGGGACTGTAGGGAGGTACGAGAACTTAGCTGAAACTCGGTGGAAATATCTCGGCTGGGAGTATTACTACGCAGATGCCAAGTAAAGACTTGGGCTGTGTTAAATGGTGTCGGAGGCAGCTCAGAGAGAGCATCTGCAGAGTCATCTCTGGGTGTTCAGTGCTCAGTGCACTAGGAGGGAGGTGAGGTGATGCCGATAAGGCACCATCCACGGGCCTGGAATGAAAAGCCCAACGAACAGAGCAGCCAGGGGAAAAGCAGTTTAGTCTTTCCCTGAACTGCCTTGTTCTCAATATTTTAACTGCATTAGTCTGATGGTTCTGTGGAATAGAATCCAAGAATACTATCTGATGAGAACTCCTGCTTTTTCCAAGAAAATGCTGACCGAGCCTGTGACTGACTCCTGACTCTTTGCAGTGTGGTGGGATTGGGATCTCACGTGTGGCCACCACTCCCTCAAGCTTCCTGTGACACAGTCACCACTGGGGCTCCTGCCTCATGTGCAGACTGCAGAGGGATGGAAGGGCTGAGAGGGGGACAAATACTCTGTGGACTGGGCTGACGCAGACTTAGGCGGAGAGGCACACTTAGCAGGATCAGGGCCAGAGGAAAAGCTCTCTGCAGGTTGCAGGAGCAGCACACAAGGGAAGCCATGGCTGCTGTGACGGAAGCTTGGGGATCAGGGCCTCTGCCATGAAAGCCAGGGAAGGTTGACGCTCGCAGCTGACACAGGCATCATGATTCTGGAGGATACATTTCTTCAAAATTCACCTTTCAGTAAAATACCATCTTTGAAAACTATTCCTATGTGCATTATCTAAAGGAGCCTAGCCTCTAGAATTTAATAAATAATGTGACACAAGAAACTCCACACTACATTAAACTGTGAAATGTGGCGCCTTTATTCCATGCCATTTCAAGGCAGGGGCTTTACATGTTTGTTCTAAATAAAGCACATTACAATTCTGCCACTGCTTTTAAGCCCTTTCATGTACTGCGATGGGAAAATGAAGTGAAAGATTTCTTAAAAATAAAAGAAAGAGACTAGATTGTCAGTGCAGATATTTATGCATGGTGTTTAATGCCTTTTTATTTCACAATTGTATATTTTGCCAGTTCTCAACAAAAATAAATAAAAATTAACAATATCTTATAAATTATTTATATTCTCCTTCAATATCTTAAGGTACACAATTACCAAAGCTGATATTGAACATAAACAAATTGATACAATTCAGTAATCAGATAAAATTCATAGTCAAATAAATTACATTAAACTGCATGCAATGTGACTTTATGTTCCATAACATCTTTAATAGCAACTGCGTACCAAAATGGCTCTTCTGGCTTCAAAGTGCAGTTACAGAGTGCAAACATGGCATTATAAGAGCAAAATACACTGTATTACATTTCATACCATCAGGTTTCGGTAACAGGCATGTGTTAGACAACACAATTCCTTACCTAAAAGCCTGCCTACGCCAGAAACAACGCTTAGCCTCCCCTTTCCCTTTTAAGAATAAAAACAGATTAGAAAATATTGGCCAGCTACCCAATATTGTTTCTCCAGGTTCTATAAGATAGAATAGAAATCAGAGCAAAGACAAACTTATTTTTATTTGTGTTACGAAATTAAACAGAAATGAGACACCGGTATCATTTCTTTGTTGCATGAACATTGCCTTAATGCTTGGCGGCAGTTAAATTTAGCTGCTTCTCTTGCCCAGCACTCAAAAGCAATAATGTAAGACAAAGTCCCACCAGTCACCCTTTCTGCCATTGTTTTAGCTCCTGGCAGAGGGACCAGGACAAAAGCAGGTGGAGAAGAGCAGCGCTCTACTCTGTGACAGACGCTTAAGATGGGGCACAAGAAATCTCTGCTTAGCACCGGTTATAACCACAATGTTCTTGGTTACAAAGTGTGACTACTGGGTTACTGGGTGGCTTTAATGGGAGATGCTAAATTACATATTGTTGCATTTGACTTTTTTTTGAGGGGGTACCGGGGATCAAACTCAGGACCTTGTGCTTGCCAGGCAGGCACTTATGCCACTGAGCTATCTCCCTGGCCATATTTTTGCATTTGAGATTTCACTGGACATTAAAACCTCTTTGAAACATATGCACAGCAAGAAATCTGCAAACTGAAGAAGACAGACTGAATGTGGGCCAAAATTTTTTCATTATCTGCAGGAAATATGAACTGATGGTGATCATTTTTATATTTACTTAGTTTTACCCTCCCTAAAACAATCATTTTTTACAGCCAAGATCTCTGAAAATAGGCAGTCTCTCTGTACTCCCAGTAGATGTCAACAAGTACTTATAAGATTTAAAATAAATTCGTGTGTAATGTACTTAACTTCAGCCACATTAAGTGGGAAATAAATATACTTTAAGATCTCACTGAATTTTACTTGTTTCCCTTTATCTTGTCTTTAAGTTTTATACATCACAGAGCGACATATCACCCCAGTTCTGTGACAGGTGGAGCGCCTGCACATGAGGACGCATGTGTGTGTTTCTTCCTGTTTTGCCTGCAGTGTCCCTTCTGCATGAGAGGCTTAGCTGAGAGCCACATGAAGGCACACAGGTGTGCTGGGTGTGTCAGGCAGGGGCACTGTGGGACCCAAGTGCTGGCACCTGCCACCTGCGGGGCAGCTGTGGCTGATGGCTGAGGAAGGGACGAGGGAGAGCTGGGCCTCCTGTGCGGCCCTGCAGGGGCGGCTCTGTGGACTCCGAGCAGTGGGGACTGGCCCATACATGCACTGAGACCTGAATTTGGGAGAAACCTCAGCCTCTTCTGAACAATAAGCAGGAGAAAGGACCCAGCTCTTTCTGCAAAGGAAGGTGCAGCTGAGTCTGAGCATTCAGAAGCTTTTAAATCTTTCTTGTTTAGAAACACACGCTATTACTTACTTTCCCAGCTTTTCCTCATTGCCTGTGTCAGGATATATTTAAAATATATGAATTTAAGTTTTAGAATAAACTACTTGATGAGATGTTTGTAACTAAAAAAATCTCCTAGATAGAAAACGTAGTTTATTTCTATCTATAGACAACATATAGAAATACTGCCACATTGTAGTTTTAAATAATCCATCACACTTTAGACTCTGATTTAATCTTATAGTTCCTCAGCAAGCTCCTTATGAAAAAAAAATACTCTAATGAAAGAAGTCCCACACTGTTTCAGTTGTGGATATCTTTGTGGCTTGTTAGATATAAACTATTTTATCACATCAGTGCTGTTCCTACAGACAGAAAAAATAGAATATTGAGAGGTTCTGATGCAACCAGGATTGGCAGGAAATGACATAAAACTGCCCACCCATGCTGATGGGGCGTCTGTTAGGTGGGTGACTTTGCTCTGTAGGCATTGTGGGCATGTGGGGACCGTCCCTTCTCTCCCACCTCGGGGAGAGCCAGAGGTGGCGAAGGGTCACTCTGCTCCACTGAGTTTGTTTCAGAGATACGACGCGTGGCATCTGAGCCGGATCTGCTCCTCCTAGTCCTAACTGGTGAATTGTAACTCCTGATACAAAGGTGCCAACATCGGCAGGTGTCAGACCACAACATGATCAGCTGGTTCCATTGATTCGGGAGGAGAAAAACTATCTGGTAAATGGACCTGACCATGATTTAGACTCAGGAGAATCTGTCATTTGCTGACACAGTCCTGAGCACTGAGTAGTCTGTCACAAATGAAACAAAAATGAAAACACTTTCTAAGTATATTAAAAAATATACAGTTGTTGACCTAACACATGACCCAACATAAATAGTATTAACAAAATAGGAATAGGAACATGAACCAGGCCCCTGTGCACTCCTGTCGACCCCGCCTGGTGAAGCCTCAGACCTGGGGCAACGCTGGCTCTGCCGACGTCACTCTTTCATACTCCTTCTTAGACTCTTTACTTTTCTGATTTTTGTACCTGGAAGTATTGAGAAATGAAATGGTTAGTGCTATAATTAACAGTAACAAGAATAAAGCATGTTCATTAAAAAAAAAAAAAAAGCAGAACACATGGACTCCTAAGGTACTTTTTTTTTTTTTTTAGCGTGAAAAAAGTGAATTTGGCAAACACCAGGTGAAAAAGGAGGCACTGTAGTCAAGCTATTTTGGACAGAAATGCAAAACACAGTGCAAGTCCTTCTCAAAGGTTGAGCAGGACCTTGAATGCTGTGAAGTTCCGAGAGGGAATTCCCCTCAGCCTTCTGTCACTTCCCTCCCTCCCGTCCTCGCTTCCTCCCTCCCCTCTTGCCTTCTTGCTTTTTCTCTGAAGCCTATTTAGTCAGTGAATGATAACTAGGAAAGATTATCATTTGATAGATACTTACAGTCACACATGGACAAAATAAGTTTCCTTAAAAAAACCAAAATAAGTTTCCTTGTATGGAAGCCGCACACCTTTAGGCTTTTACTACTTTCAGAGAAAAAGAAAAATCACTGAACAATTTGTACCATTTCAAACTGAGGCAGGCTTACAGCAGAGACACACCTGCAGCCTGGTGCTAGCCTGGCAGCTGCCAGCCACAGTCCTACCTTTCTCAGCTGTCACTTTGTGATAGCTGTTGTACAGGAGGATGGGCTCAGACTGCTGCACATGACTGGCACGAGCCACTTCAGTTTAATAAGTACCTGAAAACAGTTTCTACAGTTCTCCCTTCAATTTTAAAGTGGATAACCTCTTACATTATTACAAGGCTGTGCTTTATGAAAGAAAAAACTAGCCAAATGTATTAAATATAAGTATCTAAGTACAGCAGCAACATCATTTCTTACTTGTACACACATGTACGGTATTTTATACCTCCTTGGGCTGTCAGCTAAGGATTTTTGCCTATATTTTATAGAGAAAGAAACTGATCCTCCATAACTGACTTTCAGCAAACCACATAGGTCACAAGTAGCAGGGATAATAGTAGGATAAAGTCCAGATCAACTGCAGCCGAAATCATGTAAATATCATCAGTCCAGGTGGTAAGTCAGCCCTATTAGTAAGTTCACATTTTACCCGATTTATGGGTCTGTATTCTGTAAAGTAATTCATAAAACTACAATTTTTTAAAATGATTAGCTTAGCCTGGCGTGGTGGTGCAGGCCTCTAATTTCCGCACTCTGAGAGGCTGAAGCAGAGGATAGCAAATTTGATTCTAACCTGGGCATTTAGCAACTTAGGGAATCCCTGTGTCTAAATAAAACTTAAAAAATAATTTTTTTAAAAAATAATGGCTGGGGGGCTGGGGAGATGGCTCAGTGGTCTAAAGCACCTACTTAGAACAAGCTTAGCAAAGCACAGGGACCACAGTTCAATCCCCCAGCACCACATGCCAGCCAGCCCCGCCCCCTGGTGGGCTGAGCTGGCCACACACACACACAAATAAATAAAATTAAAAAAAAAAAATAATAATGGCTGGAAGTGTAGCTCAGTGAAAAGGACCCAGGCTTAATTCCCAGTTTCACAGCACATGCATACATGCATACACATACACACATATGATAACACCAGCTTACCATCTGCAGAAATAGTATATGGAACCAGCAATGACGGTAAGAAATAGGAGGACAAGAATTACGGTGAGAGCTACGTATTCTTTGCTCAAGGGTTGGTGGACAGTTAAGAAGAAGTGTTCACAGCGGACGCCAGTGTAACCCACGTCGCATCTAAAAATGTAAACATGGGAAAAAAGAAATCATTTTAAGAAGAAACCGCGGCTATGAATTAGATTTCTTTTTATTGATATTATGGTTTTTTATTAATTTTATTGAGAAAGAAAGAGCAATGAGACAGTTTCAAAACTGATTAGTAGGACAGTTTCAATAATTAATACATTGCATATTGTTGTCTTCTTAGTGGTTATTCATAGCACAAGATGCAGACATGATATCTTGTCTAAGCACCATTAGTACAAATCTTTGTTCTCACTGAACTAAAAGAAAGTAGCTTTATATCTATTCTAACTATTTTGTATATACAGATATATGTTTTTTCACTACAAAATGGTCCTTCCTTTATATCCCCCTTTTTTGTTTAGTTTTGTCAGAGATGGGTATTCCATTCTCATGTAAATATTGTAGGTGCATGAATTCAGCAAAATAATCCAATACAGTCCAGTAGTCCATAACAGTAATGGGTTATCCGCAGAACTGGCAATGTCAGAAGTTGTTGACTTGAGACCTTTACAGCTCAGCATATTAATATGGCAATGAATTAGTTTTGTAAGCTTAGCTCCACAGTTGATACAAGAAATCAACAAGATCTGCTACAGGTATAAAGCTGAATTCACAGATTGACTACAGTTAGGCTAGAGTCGATCCAAGTGCTCCATAGAGCTCTCGGCTAAACCATGGGTTTGCCATGACAGTTCAATCCAGTGCACCGTAAGTTTTGTAGTCACCAGGTGCTTTTCGGCTGAATCTTAAATAATGATAGACAGAAATCCAATGATGAGATTAAAGTGGAGCAGCGCACCTGGCGCCCCCCACTCTGCACTCTCCAACAGTCCTAGGAAATACAGTGATGTCCAAACATGAAAAGGAGAGAGAAATGTGGGCGCAGCCCTGTCCGCTCTTGAGTCTCACCTGCAGTAGTTCTCGCTCATGTCCACCAGGTAGATGCACTGCCCGTGCAGACAGTAGCCCTGCATGTCAGAGGCACACTTGGTGATCGACACTTGTGCCACACGCGGATTGTCTTCCATCTGGACTGTACAGGGAACAGAGAGTTAAATGCATTCTGCTGCCCGCTTGGCCTCTGGAGACATTAATGACCCTGTCACTAACAAGCCACTGAGTGACTCCAACAGAGTGTCAGACACCCGACAGGGGAGGGCAGTTTTCAGGAGGGGGCAGTCACATCAGTCTCAGACCACACAGATCAAGAGACAGCCCCTCAGCTCAGAGAACTCTAGCAGACAGACCACACCAAACACAGTGACATTCACGGCCCCCTTTCTGTAATGGACCTTCAGTGCAGAAAGGTAAAGCTGGCACATATACATGTTGATACACACTGCACAGTAGGTATTATTTGTGTCTCTAAATAAAATGTGTCTAATTTTTCATATCTCAAGGCAATTCTACAATGTTTTACTCCCAAAGGTAAACTGGAATCATTAATAATTTTTCTTTTCTTTTTATTTGGTGGTCCTGGGGATGGAACTCAGGACCTTGCACTTGCTATAATTTTGACAGACGTTAATCTGGCACAGGTTTTTCTGTGAGTAAGCCTTGTAATGGTGAACATGTCCAAATTGTTTAGTTTACTCTCAAAGTAATCAAAGTCTCCCAGTGTTTCTTACATGGAGACCTGAGAGCTACACGAAGCTTAAGCTGGAAATGCCTCTTAAGCACGTACAACAATGGACAGAAGAGTCTTGCTAGAAGCTGTGTTGCAACCTACAAGTAGACTTCGCATTAACTATTTTAGTTACTGAAATGTAAAGGATGTTTATGAAATTAGTTGTAAAGAAACTTGGCTGCAATAATCTGACCCCAGGAATGAAAACAAGGAGAAAAGGGTGGTGGCAGGAGACCTCTCAGGGCCTGAGGGTGACAGACCAGAGAAGAGGGGTGCTCTGTGGGACAGAGCTCTTCTCCTGTACCTCACCCTGACTCGCCACTCAGACTACAGACAGAGCACAGCTTCCTTGGGGCGCAGCCACAGCCTCAGCCTGGAGGACCATGCATGGCTTGTCTCCCCATCTTTCATCTTTACATGGCATTTGGCACATACGAAGTGCTCTCTGATTGTACACTAGGACTAGAAGGGACATCACTTGTCCTTTGACAAACACACACACACACACACACACACACACACACACACACACTCCAATGCACAAAATTCCCGTCTTTCTGTTTGGCTTGGGATTCTGCCCTCCAGTGTGTCCTTGAAGGATAGTTTTGTGACAAAATGTGATTTTCCTTATTCTTCATTTTTACGTGATCAGCTCTTTATAACTAATTAATGTATGAGCCCTATCCACTTCCCCAAGTCTCTCTCTTTCGTACCCTTTCAGGAATCCTGGTTAAATAGTAGCTTGAAATTTTAACCCAGCAGTTAATTCCTCCCCTCTTCAGGGTCCCACATCTCTCCTGCTGTTTTGCTGAGCTGTGACCCTGGGTGCAGGGTGGAGAAGGAGGCCTTACCTAGTGCTGTGCAGTTACTGTCAGATTCTCCTGGGATGCAGGACGGAATCACAGTTGTGCTGAGCGCCGATCGCAGAAGATGAAAACCTAATTATGGAGGAAAATCACATATAGAATTCTTCTTTCAAGGAAAGCACCTTTGATCAATATCCAACTGTATTACTTATAGAAGTATTTTGCTTTAAGGATGTGATTCATAAAAACCAGAAGTGAAAATAATTCATGAAGATATGCACATAACTGAAAGTAAATGAAGCCCCAGTTCTTCTGTCCAAGGGGGAAGCCACAGCATTGCATTTGTAGTTACAGACATCACCTGCCTTAAAAATCTCATGGTAACTCTTTCCAAGATCAATTCTGAAGTCCTATTTCCAGAGCTTAGCAAAGAACCCCCACTGCTTTACTCCATCATGTGCTTGGGCTAGCGCTCAGTTACAGACCCATCACAGATTTTGAATAAAATGAGGCTCCACTTACGGTGACAACAAACTAGGAAGCTTGATTTGAGGTTCATTCATTGTTTGAGAAGCGCCTAAGTCACTCCTCACACCATGGTGCTCATGAAAGCAGACTTTCACTGATACAACATAATCTAGGTTCAGTCAGAACAGAGTTGTCCCTTCTTATCTGTGGAAAATTGATTCCCAAAACGCCAATAGGTGCTTAAAACCTACGAATGCTCCAATTCCTTGCCTGAAATGGCTTAGTATGTGTACGTAACCAAGCACATCTTCCCAGACACTTCAACTCATCTCTAGTTTACTTACAATTCTTGATACAATGGGAATGCTAGGATACTAGGGAGCCTATTTTTAGGGAGCAATGACCACAAAAGTTCCAACATGTTCTATATGGACACCATGTTTTAAACGTGTTTGAACCCCTGTAGAGACAGGGCCAGCTCTCTGACTGGCATGACACTGGCAGGATGCATGCCAGCTGCATCCCGCCATGCCCCGGCACCACCTCCTGTTGCCCAGGAAGAGCCTGAACTAGCTTTCTCTGTGTCTCCAGTGAGAGGATCAGCACTGGAAAACAGACACCAAAGTGAGCAAAGAGCACAGAGAGGGTGGTAAGAAGAGCCGCTTGTGCACACTGCTTGAAGGCCCTCAGCCTAGGCACTCCTGCTCAGGCCTCCACCTTCAAGCCCAGGCTCCAGGAGGAGGAGGGGTGCGGTACTAACATGCGGGGAGGACTGAGAGCCAGCACCTGTACTGAGTACCGGCAGGGCTCCAGTCCTCTGGCCCGCACCATCTCATTCCATCTCCCAGTGCCTCTCTGAGGAGGAGGCTGTCATTACCCCCACTGGCTCTAAGGAAGATGAACAGCAAAAGTTGAAATGACGCCCCCAAGAGCTGCTGTTGCTAACTGGGCCAGGAGCTGGAAATGGTGATAAGTCAGGTAAGGTGAAGGTCACACAGGAAAGAGGGAATGGAAGAGTGAATTGACCCCCATAGGGGTGGGAAGGAGCAGCCACCCAGTGAGAAAGCTCAAGCGGTTTCATTTTGGACACATTAGTTAAGCAATCCAAGCCTCAATTTTCCCTATCTTACAAAGTATGGGGGAGTTAGAGATAAAATAATGTTTTTCTGGACACCGGACAGGAGAGTTTCCATGCATGAACTCACAAAGGCAACGTCTGGCTAGGTGAGTTAGCAGGATATGGCAGTGCTGCCCTCTACTGGTGTATGAAAAAAAATTGGTCTTTTTTTTCTGGTATGGAAAGGGAACTTAGGGCCTTGTGCTTGCCAGGCAGGCGCTTATGCCACTGAGCTGTCTTCCCAGCTCCAGGTTGGTCTTTTCAAAGGATAATTCAATCCATGTAAGGCAGGGATCCGAATTTTATTTTCTTTATTATAGGAGACATATTTATTAAGAAAACTGTGAATTCTTTGTGTCCTAAAAACCAAGTTACCGAATTTAAAAAATAATAATAACCAAGTTATAGGACCATCATCACCACTATAGTTTATATTTTCATATTTCAAACTTGACACAGTAACCTTGACACAAGGTCCTTACAGCCCCAAATAAACTCAGAGCATATAAATTATTTTGCTTAGTAAATTTTTTTTTTTTTTTTTTTCGGAACCAGGGATTGAACTCAGGCCCTTCGCTTGCCAGGGAAGCGCTTATTCCACTGAGCCATCTCCCAGCCCCTTAGAGCATATAAATTAAATATCTGATATGGCAGCACTTATCTAGTGACTACAAAAGATGAGTGTTGAAAATCCAGCATTGAATTCCTTACCCTTCCAATTATTTGAAAATATTTTCAAGTATCCTTGAGAGCTGTAGAGCTATCATTTTATCCATTCCAAGTCCCTTCTGCATTGTGAATGCTGATTCAATAGCCTTTATAGCCCACACCCAAGGTCATTTCTTAAATGATTTCTAGAAAGCTAAAGTTTAGATTTGATCATCAATTAAAGGGTTTAAAACTATTTTCCACATCATCTGTATGACTTTGCCCTGTACTTCATTGAAGAATTAAATCCTTTAACTTGGTTGCCTCAGTATGCCCTGGCCTTCTAGCTGCTCCTGTGTTGGTCTTTGACTGCCATCCCTCCAGGCTTCTCGCCCTAAGGAGACGTTCATCCCCAGATCTCCCTGGAGCAGAGCACAGCAGAGAAAGGCGCACTTTGCAAGCAGGATTTGGGTCTCTCCTTTGCAGGAAGCCAGGCAGCCAGGCCTGCTTGGAGCTGCTTACATCCACCTGCGAGGGCTATGGACCGCTGCCCCCTGTCTTCAGGTGTTGCTTCTCGGCCTTTTCCCTTTCTTCTCTCCCTTAGCTGCTAGTGTTTCCACAGCGAGAGACTTTGTTCCGGTTGCTGAGGCAACAGGTGAACTGTGTGTCTTTGTTAAGGAAAGAATGCTCAGCCCAGGGTGTGCCTCTGTGGAAACTGGGCTTCCCTGACCTGGGACCTGCCCTGGACACAGTCCACCACTTGAGACAGTTTCTGCGAGACTTGCTGCGTAAGTCCAATAGCAGGGTATTTCCCAGGTGAAATTGTAAACAATTCCAAATTCCCTTTTCATATAAAATGTGGGATTACCTCAGCCTAATCCTAAATGCGGCCAGTGAAACAGCACAGTTGGTTTAAATCATGTTCAAAAGAACAGCCCTCCTGCTTCAGAACAGTGGCTTCCCAGTGTCGCTGTGCTTTGGCCCCTGTGCCAAGCTCTTGCCAACCTGAATAGAGGGCTGAGCAGAGGTGACCTGTAGACTGAAATCTCCAGCCACTGAGGGCTATGAAAGCCACCGTCCAACACCCTTGGAATCATTGTTTTTAAATCCTAGGAGGAAGGAATAAATGCTACATTCTTGCTCATGTAATTCTTGAGTATTAAATTTTTCATTATTTTAGTGTTCTTTGCATGGAATAATCTCTCTGTGACTCAGTTGAAAATATTATATTTGAGTTTTTGATTCTGTACAGTGGATCATTGCTAAAAAATTATTCACTGTGCCATTGAAGATTTTGAATGGTGTCTCGGACAAAAAAGCAGTCTGGTTACAAGTTTTACCTTCGTGGCCAAGTCATAGAGGAACGGAGAAACTCCAAGCAAGGGGCTACACCAGCAGCCACAGCTCAAGCGGCAGCTTGGGTTTCTATTTCAATTCAGACAAAAGTATCCAAAGCCCTTGGCTGTGGTCTCTGTCACGCGAGCCCACGGGGTTGCAGGAATGCAGCCCTCACCCATTGCCTCTACCTTCCCCTGGGGAGGCCGCAGCTCAGGGAAATCTCATTGTGCCAGCAGGAAGTGGAGCCACTGACTCACAGGATGCAAATTGCCTCTTCCCTATGAGTCAGGTGAACCTCACCTTGCCCTGTGTATGGGAGAGGTTGGGCACCAGCCCCAGCGTGGGGAGAACACCGAGCGTCCTGTGCCTGGAGCCCTCGGCAGTGATTGCCCGATACTGCAGCCAGGCGCAAGGCTGGACATGGGGATTGTGCTTCTCATTGCGCATGGTTCCTTGGGGGCACTAAGGGGTTTATGTAGGACACAGACTAGAGGAGGCTGTGATTTGGCAGCTGGCCGTCCAAGCCAAGACAGCAGCTCAAGCTGGCCTCGGCTGTGCAGACCTGTGTAATGCCAGTACTCAGAAGGCTGAGGCAGGAGGCTCACCGCACAAGCTAGTCGGAACTACTTGGAAAACCAAATACGAAAACAAACTGAGTTTAGCTGAAATTCTAGAGATCCAGTGATTTCTCTGGAAAGCAGTCAAGCAAATAAAAATGATCCAGGATAGGCTGGCGAGATAGCTCAGGACTGAGTTCTTGCTCAGGCAAGTGCAGGGACTGTAAACCCTGCCTGTAATCCCAGTGCTGGAGAGGCTGCAAACAGGAGGATCCCTATGAGTCTGAGCTACATGATGAGACCCTATACCAAATACATTTTTAAAATCCTGAATAAAGGGATGTAATAGAATAAACGGTATACAATTTATTTTTCCATTTATATCTTTTCACTATTTTGACCAGAACAGTGAGCTCACAGTGAATCAGCATTTGCCCAACCCAAACAGGTAGCAAAATCTGCTTTGTTCATGTTTTTACTGTGGTACCACGCCAGTCACTTGATTTCTGACCTTCTTCCTCAGCATTCTGTAATTTCAGGGTTTGTCTGTGACATAGGGGTGTGCTAGGTCCTGTGCACTTTTAAGAAATATATATGAAATCACCATTTGGGGGGTTGTTTTAAATTTAATTTCTCGGTTAAGTAATCTTGCTTCACCTTGCTTAATTTTTTTTTTAAACTCTAATCAGATACTGAAAAGCTCCATTGCCAGTACTTTCTAGTATCAGAGAAAATGTATAATTATAAATGTATAGAAAATCAACTTTGTCTTCCACTAACAATCATTCTATTCCTACATTTTTATTGCTAACCTTATAATTAAGCTTCATGAAAAAATAAATGTAAAAACTGTAACTCTTTGAAATTAAAACAATCTGACACCAGAGGCTTCTATAACAAGATTAAAAAGAAGTATTTCTATTAATTTTAAGTTTTACAAGCTGGCCACAAGATCTTCCTTGACAAGAAGTTTTTGATTTACATGCATTAAATTATATTCTAGG